ACGGGGGCACAGCGCCGATCCTGCATGGAGGCCAGCGCTTCAGCGGGAACGCCAATTCGAGGGACCAGAATCGCCCCGATTGAAACATGTGACAGACCAGCCTGTGTAATCCCGCGTGTTGAAAAGCAGAAGCGGAGAGGGCGGGGAGAGAGAGGACGGCGGTAGTCATATGTTGTAGGTGTAGAAGGGGTGAGGAGGAAAGAGGGTGGAGGGGGCACCGCTCTCCCTTCCGAGGAGGGAGAGGTCTCCTATCCCCCCCCTGCCTTTGCTGTTCGATCGCCGCCGGCCCCCCGGTCCCCAGGGCGGCCTGGCGCGGCCCAGGCCCGGGCCGCTGATGCCCAGCACTGACGCTGGTGGGGCGGGGAGCCTGGAAAAGGGGGGCAGGAGACAACACAAAAAACACACAACAACATACACAAAAACACACAAGAAACACAACAAGTGTGTGTGTGTGTGTGTGTTGTGTGTGTGTGTTGTGTATGTGTATGTGTATGTGTATGTGTATGTGTATGTGTATGTGTATGTGTATGTGTGTGTGTGCGTGTGTGCGTGTGTGCGTGTGTGTGTCTGTGTGTTTGGTATGTGTTTTGTTTGTGTTGTGTTTGTTTGTGTTGTTTTTTTTGTTGTGTGTGTGTGTTTTGTTGTGTGTGTGTGTGTTTTCGCGTGCTGTGTGTTTTTGTGCGTTTTTGCCCCGGAGACTCGGTTGTGTGCCTTCGGGTTGCGGCGGCGGCGGTCGTTCCCCGCGGCCGGAGCGGAGCCCGGGCTGCGGCCGCTGCGCTGCACGCGCACAGGGGGGGGGGCGGAGCACGGCGGCACGGCGGCCGCGGGGGGCGGCAGGGAGAGGGAGAGGAGGAGGAGGAGGAGGAGGGAGGAGTCTATTTTTCCCCATATCTTCTGGGTGTCTGTCTTCCCCCCTCATTTCCAATAATTTCCCATATTTTCTGGGGAGTGGACGATTCATTGTGTCTGTGTGTTTTTTCCCCCCCCTGACGAGTGCCCCCTTTTCCTTCACCACCCACGAAGCCACCCCAACCCAACCCGAAGGCCTCGATTTGCGTTCCAGTTCCAGGAGGGGGGGGGGTCGGGGAGCACTGAGAAAACACGTACGGAACCCGTACCCCTCCCCCCCCCAACCCGAAATGGGTCTTCGGGTCGGGTTGGGGTGGTCTGGTACTCCAGATGTCGTAATAAAAGGGAGGGGGTCTGGACCCTCCAAGACAAGCCGTTTCAGACCCCCCCCCCGTGGGAGGACCCTCCAAAACATCGTCCCCAGACCCCCCCCAGGCCCTCCAAGATAGCCTGGAAGAGACCCCCCCCGAAATGATACCCCCCTCCCTTTATTACGAAATCTGGAGTACCCTCCCCCCCCCCAAACCCGAAATTCGGGCCTTCGGGTCGGGTTGGGGTGGTGGTCTGGTAGGCAGTCACTCCCCACGTCCCATCACGAGAACGCCGCGGCGTCAGGCTGTGGTGCATGCCCTGTCTCTGGGGGCCTCTGCGGGGCCCTCGAGAACCGTCCAACCCGTTTCGAGGAGGAGGAGGAGGAGGAGGAGGAGGAGGGAGGGGAGGGGAGGGGAGGGGGAGGGGGAGGAGGAGAAGGACTTCCCGCGGATTTCTTGGATCGGCGCTGTGCGCGCGCCATGGGTGGTGCCGGAGGCGCCGCCACGGGGTTTCAGCGCGCAGCGCGGCTCCAAGAACCCCGCGCAGACCTGAGAGAGTTCATGTTCAATAATTCGTCAATCGGGCTTGCTGGAGGATTCTCATTTGTTTGGGCAGAGCCGGTCGTCGTTCCTCGAGATTCTTCGGGCCATGTGTCCCTACTGTGGCGGTGCCCTGGGTTGTATGGTCTTGTTTCCGTGTCCAGGCGTTGCCCAGGGTGGTTTGGTCTTGTCTCCTTATTGTGGCCTTCCCTGGGATTGCTTGGTCTTCTTTCCTTTCCCTGGTATTGCCCACAACTCCTTGGTGTTCTTTGCTTGCTGCATTCCCTTGTTGCTAGGTCTTGTTTCCTTCCTGCATTCCTGGGGTGCCTGATCTTGCGTCCTCATTGCATTCGCAGGCTTGCTTGGTCTTGTTTCCTTGCCGCATTCCCCGGGTCGCCGGGCCTAGTTTCGCCAAGTAATGCCAACCAGCGCCAAGCTACGCCAAACAATGCCAACACGCAACGCCAAGCAATGCCAAGCGACGCCAAGAAACACAGCAACGCCAAGCAACGCAAAGCATCGCCAAGAACCGCCACGCAATGATGGGCAATGCGCCCCTGCAGTGGGGAACGTTCGCCTCATGGGGGTCGCGCTAGGTTCATGCAGTTGTTTATAGTATATACATATATATATATATGTATTAAAAACAACTATGAGGGTGGCCCTTCGCCGCGAACGGAGTTTCTCTCGTCTTCGTCGGACTTGAACGTCCTGCCCCGGGATGCGCTCCAGCAGCGGCGCCCGACGAGGGCGTTGCGGGGTCTCCCCCAGAGAGTGGCCGCCGAAGGGCCCGAGCCGGGGTCCGGAGGCCGGGGAGGAAGGCGCTCGGCGTGACGGCAGGGCAAGTCGGGCCTGTCCCTCGACGGGAGGAACAGTCAAACACGGTCCAACAAATAGTTCGGGGGCGGCAAAGAGGGGGGGGATGACCAGGGTGGGGTGGAAATCATGGCGGGGGCCATGACGTCTCCCCAGATTTTATGGCGCCTCTTCTTGTTTCATTACGTCCCTGGCCCCCCCGCGGGGCCGCGCACATGCCGCCGGTCATGATTTGCACCCCCCCTTCTTGGACACCCCCCTCTTGGCCGCTCCCGAATAGTATGGGGACCATTTGTTGACTATCTTGGGCGATGTTTGGGCACTTGTCGACTCTCTCTCTCTATCTCTTTATTTGTCGCCCACATTCCGCGTGTGGAAGGAGACGCCCGACCCAAGCGTAAGAGTGGCCCTCTGCGGGAGTGAACTCGACTTGCGGGGGGGGCGCGGAGGTGAATGGGGGGGCGGGGGGGGGGCGAGCCCAAGCACGCAGCGATGGGCAGGCCGCGCGCCAAGGGGCCACTCTTGCCTGGGGTCGCTCGCTGCGTGTACTCCAGATTTCGTAATAAAGGAGATTGGGTCTGGACCCTCCAAGACAAGCCATTTCAGACCTCCCCCGTGGGAGAACCCTCCAAAACATCGTCCCCAGACCCCCCAGGCCCTCCAAGATAGCCTGGAAGAGACCCCCCCCGAAATGAGACCCCCCTCCCTTTATTACGAAATCTGGAGTAGCCGACAGAGGACAGCTATACTCAGCATCAGGGGGGCCTGCCCCTGTGGGCAAGGGGCCCCGCAGTTTCTGGCGCCATGCTCGGCCCCCGCGGCGGCTTGTCCGGGCCCCAGCCCATCCGGAAGTTGCTCCGAATGAAACGCTGGTCCAGGGGAACGCCCTGGTATCCCTCTAAAAATGGAAGGCGGCAGTAGCATCATAAGATGTTCGGAGGTCCGCATGGGTTCCTCGGACCAGCGCAGGACACTCGGGACCCTCCTCCCCTGAGCGCGCCAGGGGCGACACAGGATGCGCTGCCAGGGGGGGGCCGAGTACCGACCTGAGAAACGCGTGAGGACTTCTGGAAGTCGTCGTTTTCACCCCAGGTCGGTTATGATGGCCTCGAGGGCCGGCAAGGGCTCCGAGAGCCCGAAAATTGTGGAAGCTCGCTGTTCCTTTTTGATTCGAGACTTCGGCTGTTTGGGAGCATGACGTGTGTTCCGCCAAGTGATATCCCATTCTGCGGACGATCTGTCAACCGTACCGGCTTGGCGCATCTCGAGGCGTCGTCGATCTTCGACCAAGTAATGATTCGGTGCATAGTCCCGTAGACACGCTAACGGCGATGTATGTAACGGCGATGTCGGCTCAGATCAGAGGTCGGCCGACTTGCTGCTGCCGAGCAGGCGGCCAGTTGTGGGAGCGCACTGAGTGGCACTGCCAGCTCCTGCTCCTCTCTGATGGTAGGAAATGCATATGTCTCCACGCGATGTGTTCTTGCACGTGCCGCCCTCATCCCCGCAACACTGGCGTTTGTGGTGTGCCTTATGATGCGACGGGGCATGCCTTTGCAAGTTTCCAGCAACATGCTCAGTCAGATGTTGCTGCCGATACCTCCTCGAGCACATGAAACTGCGACGGGGCAAGATCATGCAGCAGCTAGCGTCACTGCTGCGCCGTCTCCTCCGAGAAAGAAGGCGGCAGCCAGCGTCACTGTCGCGCCGCCTCCTGTTCAAAAGCACGCAGCTGTCAACGTCACTGAAGAGGGAGAGCGGTTGCTGCCGCTGGTCTGGGTGCACTTCCCCAAGACAGGGTCCTCGTTTGCATCGCTGCTTGCACATTTCGGCTGCCCCGACATCCCCACCAGCGCTAGAGTGATTGACCCGGTGACGTTCTATCGCCACTACCCCAAAGAGGAGTGGTGCAACGGCAGCTTCGAGAGGTTCGAGGCTGGCCACAGCCCCATCCTCGTTCGCGAGCTGGGCGGCCGCACCCCGCCCGAGCGCGTCGTCAGCATGTTCCGGTCGCCCGCCTCGCGAGTGGTGTCGGGGTACTTCCACAGCTTCCACGACTGCTTCCCCATGCAGCGGAAGTACAACTGCACGGGCTACGACAGCGACTGCCCGGCGGAGCTGTGGCGCGAGCCCCTTCCGGCGCAGGCGCAGCGGCTCAACGAGTACGCCGCGTGCGTGGACAAGTGCACCGCGCGCCTGCTGACCGGGAGCATGTGCGGGGCGACGAAGGCGACGCCGCCCGACCTGCGGGGCGTCAGCGTGGGCATCGTGCAGAGGCTCGGCTTCGTCGGGCTCGTGGAGGAGTGGCCCTTGTCCGTCTGCCTTTTCCACCTGCGCTTCGGGGGCGCCTGCCTGCCCGTCTCGTTCGAGAACCTGCACCCCATGTCTGGACGCCCGAAATGGGTACTGAAAGAATGGGTACAATGCCCAACAACAATTCCTGTTCATTTTGAACAGGATTCGCTGTCCACGCCGCCGCGGCCTGTGTCCATTCGAGACAGAAGGCCGCCTGCCCAGCAGCGGCCGCTGTTGGCTTGGGACAACATTTGTTGTTGGGCTTAGTGCCCATTCTTTCCGTACCCATTTCGGGCGTCCAAACCATGGAGTCGCAGCACCGCGACACGCGGGCCGGCCTGGCGGAGCTGCTCACCGCCGACCTCGGCCTCGAGGAGGCCGTCTACCGGGCTGCCTCGGACCGCTTCTGGCGGGACGTGCGCGGCCACGGCGCCACCGCGGTTCGGTGCCGCCGGGTCTGTCCGGGCAGCGCCCAGCACTTCTCGGGGGCGGAAAAGAGGGGGGTGATGACTAGGGGGGGGGTGGATATCATGTCGGGGGCCATGATATCTCCCCAGATTTCGTGGCGCCTCTTCTTATTCCATTACGTCCCTGGCCCCCCCGCCAGGCCGCGCACATGCCGCCGGTCATGATTTGCGCCCCCCCTTTTGGACACCCCCCTCCTGGCCGCTCCCGAACTTCCCGGGCGACTGACCGCCTCCGCGCGAGCGCCTTCTCGTACTGCCTAAACTGCCAGAGGATCTGGAGAAGTGTGGAACGTTCGTGTCGTAATGTGCGTAACGCTCTGGGTGGTGAAACCGACCCGTTGGGGAGGGGCCCGAAACGGCATCCCCAATCGTGGCCCTGAGGGGCCTGGGGCCCCCCTGAGGGCCCCTCGGGGGATCTGGCCTTCGTTTTATTGTGATTTCCACCTCATCAACGAGCTTTCTGTTTTTGCCACCCTCGCCCGCCCTTCTCTGCACATCACACTTCGTTTTTGCGCAACGCTATTCGCATAGAGGGAGGTGTGGGGAGGGGGGAGGCCACCGCAACCGCAGAAACAAACATACCCGCGCGCTACGGCGCGCACCAATCCGCGAAAAGGAGATGGCCATGGCGAGAGAGGACAAAAGGGGGGAGGGGGGGGAGGAGGAGGAGGAGGAGGAGGAGGAGGAGAAGGAGGAGGAGGAGTCTGTCAGCCTGTCTTCTGTCTTCCTTGTTCTCGATCACCACGATATCACAAGGGAGGGGGATGAGGCGGAGGAGGAGGCGGGGAAGAGGAGGAGGATGAGGAGGAGGTGAGGTGAGGTGAGGCGGGATAGAACAAGCGAGCCTAGGGAACCCAAAGAAAAAACAGCACAACAGAGACCAACAAAAACATATATTCCCTGAGACGTCTTGCCGAAATCAGCCCCGGAGCCCATCCAGCAGAGACAAACAAGAGGAGGAGGAGGAGGAGGAGGAGGAGGAGGAGGAGGAGGAGGAGGAGGAGGAGGGGGAGTAGGAATAGACCGACACCAACGCCAGTTTATAGGGCCCCTGGCCCCTCGAGCTGCGCAACAATGATGGCCTCGGGGGGAGGGTGGCGGAGTAGGAGGAGGAGGAGGAGGAGGAGGAGGAGGAGGAGGAGGAAGAGGAGGAAGAGGAGGAGGAGGAGGAGGAGGAGGAGGAGGAGGAGGAGGAGGAGGGAGAGGCTGAGCAGGACGAGCCGGAGGAAGAGACGGGAGGAGGGAGGGAACAAGAATGGGAGGGATGAGGGAGGGGGAGAGGGGAGGAGGGTGTGAGGGAGGTAGAGGAGAAAAACGTATTATTGAATAGGGCAAGAACAGAGGAGGAGAAATGATGAGGACAATGGCGACGACGACGATGACGATGGTGGTGATGATGATGATGCTGATGCTGATGCTGATGTTGATGTTGATGATGACGACGTTGATGATGTTGACGATGATGATGCTGCTGCTGATGATGATGATGATGCTGCTGCTGCTGCTGCTGATGATGATGATGATGATGATGATGATGATGATGATGATGCACACGCCGCGGCGACGCCGCGACGCTGCGGCGACGCCGCGGGCGGCGCCCGGCCGCCGCTGCCCAGCAGCGCAGGCTCCTGGGGGGGCGCGTCGGCACGGGCGGCCAGGGGCGAGAGGGAAGGAGAAGGGGAGGGGGACGAGGAGGGGGAGGAGGAGGAAGAGGAGGAGGAGGAGGAGGAGGAGGAGGAGGAGGAGGAGAGGTGAGGACGATTGAGGAGAAAAGTAGAGCTCAAATAAGTGCACATGGGAGGAGGGTGCAGAGGGATAGTACAGAAGGGGCGTCAAGAACGAAAAGGAAGAGGCCGAGGATTGAGGAGAGGGAGGGGGGAGAAGAGGAGGTAGATGGGGATGAGGGGCAAGAGAGCAGGTGGGGAGGTGGGAGGTTAGGCTGTGCGGATTTTGAGCACGTGAGAGGAGGTGGGACGATGAAGAGAGGCAGGAGGAGGCGGTGGCCGCTCTTTTACTTGTCACGGCGACAGTAAATATATAGGATGCATGCATGCACGGATGCACGATAACGTTGCTGCACAGCTCCGTGCTGGCCGAGCTCAGCCTGGAGAGGGATTGGGAGGGGATGTGAATATATTTGGGTAGTGTGTGTGTGTGTGTGTGTGTGCTGGTGCCCCTGGGACCGTCTGGTAACTTAGGTGGAGAGACGGCTGGCTGCTGGGGCCGCGTACGTAGTCGCGAGCGTCGGCTCGCGAGGGAGGCTCGTTGGCCCGCAGGCCACTCCCGGGAGGGACGGTGGCGGGGGGCGACTCCCTAGAAAAAGTGCGCACATGGGTCAGGCTGCGCGCACTCGTCTGATACAGGAGGAGAGCGGGTGAGGAAGATGAAGAGAAGGACGAAGAGGAGGGAAAAGGAGAAGGAAACAGGAGGGCGATGGAGGAGGAAGGGGAGAGGGAAGAGACGAAAGACAGGGAAGGATATTTGGGGGATGAGGAAGGAGGAGTGTACAGAAGGAGGGACAGGATTCCCGAGAGGAACAGGCATGGCCGAGGGAAGAAGGGGGGCCGCGAGGGCGGCTGTAAAAATCAGCTGAACATGCATCCAGCATCCACCACTGATCGCAACCTGGGAACCAGACATCGGCGCTGTGGGAAAAACTCGCACGCCGCTGTCCGAGCCGCGCAGGCGTTCAAAGGGCTGGCGATCGATCGGTGAATCCGCAGCGCGACCCTGTACAACTATATACCGAGCTGCGGATTCACTTCAGGAGGTGCTGGCATGACGACCACAGCGGGTCGTCCTCCTTTCTGCGCCTCTTGCTGCTGCGGTCATCTGTCTCCGCGGCAGGGGCTTCAGCGCCTCCGTGGGCCTTGGCGAAGTCTGCCGCCCGCTTAGCAGCCCTAGACTCCTTGAGGTGACTCACGGCCCCCGCGCTCGTACACGTTGCCAGGGACTTACCAGCAGCTTTCCTCTTTTTTTTCTCCTCCTGCTCGACGGTCGTCACATGGCGCTTCAGCTCCACCAGCGTCGAGGACGGGGTTGCCTCATCCATGAGCTTCTTAGCCTTCACTCCGACGACGGGAATGGTGACGGTGAACCTGAAGAGATCGGAGGCCGCGGGCTCGGGCGCGGCGGTTGGCTCGAGCGTCTGCTCCTCCTCATCCTTCTCCTTCCCCATCGTCAGCTTCTTGGAGTCCTCCGTGATCTTCACAATCGGGGTGGAGTCAGCGTCGAAGCTGACGCAGGCGTTGTAGTTGCGAAAGACAGTCGTCACAGTTGCGTCCGAAGCCTTCTCCGTGGCGTGAATCAACCAAGTTGGAACGCAGCATTCGGACGTCGCCGAATTGAAGGAGCTACCGTCCAAGAACAGTTCGACAGCACCGTTGAACAACGTAGCAAATGGGAAGTAATTCTTGGAAGGACGGACGACGGTCACCACCCCGGCGAACAGCATGTCAAAGTCCGGCGTGTCCAGTTCCCTCTTCTCCTCAGTGGCATTCAAGAGGATGGCGGCCTCCTTGGCCTTCGCAGCTGTGTCGATCAAGATGTGGTCTTTGAACTGGTGGAAGTTGCCGCTGTACTTCTCCCACAACCAAGAGGTCAATTGGTTCGTGATGTCCTGCTTCGCCGCTTCGCGAAACTCCAAGCCGTGGTCCGCGCAAGCGGGCTGACGCGATCGGTTGCGTTACTGGGCCAGGGAGAGGTTGCGGAGACAGGAGGGAGGGATACGAAGGAGGAGGGCCCCCAAGGGCCCCATCGGGACTCCCTGCGTTGCGCAGCAGATCACTGTCAGCCCCGCATGCGCCATCCACCCGTTTGAAGATTCGCGCGCCTTCAGCGTCACGATGTTGACAGTCACGCCAACGGGTAGACCAGGAATGCAATTGATGTCGGCTGGCTTGCACAAGTTGATGTTGTGGTCGATGCCCTTGATGTCTGGAGCGGGCTGGGCCGCGGCCGCGCCGACGGGAGCAGCTGCGCCAATTCTCACCGGGCTCTTGTCCAAACTCTTCTCGGTCTTCAGGCGCCTGGACCTGGGCTGCGCTCCCACCACCGCGGCCACCTGAGCCCCTGCACGGCCGCGGCTGCACTTGAACAATGCCCTGACAATGGCCATCCAAAATGTCACGCGCTCCCCATGGCCTCGGAGGAGGGCGTCGGCCTCAGACACCGCCGTCAAGTCCTCGGGCGACAGGGGCGTGCAATGCTCGTGAAGCTGTCTGATCTGCGGAAGAATCAGGTTGTCGTCATCAAAGAGCTCCGCATCGGAGCGCGTAGCCGCGAAGTCGACAATGAACTGGAACATGTAGTTGCCGCGCACGCGGGCGGCCTTGAGCAAGTGCTTGGCTGTGTCGAGCTTCGCGTCCACGAAAATCTGGGGGACCTCGCACGTCCGAACCACGTGGGCGACCACGTCGGCGATGAAGTCCAACGCGTCGTCGTTCATGGCAGCGTTGTCGCCGACCTGGGGCTAGGGGTGAAACGAGCAAGGCGCGCAAAGGCGCAGGCCCCTGGGAGGAGGGGGGCCCGCCTAACTGGATCTGGAGTTCCCCGGCCCGAGGCCCCCCCTGGGCCCGAGGGCGCCTCTTGGGCCTCTTGGAGGCTTTTCCGAGGACTCGGAGCCCAAACCAAAAGAGCGAGGAGCACGAGGAGGCGGAGGTGGAGGAGGAGGCGGAGGAGGAGGAGGAGGAGGAGGAGGAGGAGGAGGGAGGACGAGGGGGAAGGCGACACATTGGGAAAAGACAGGGGGAGGAGAAGCAAGGCTGAAGGCGAAGAGGACGCTCGAGTGGGCCCCAGCCCCAGACGGCTGCAGGCCGCCCCGTTTATCAAAACCTGAAGGCCTTTGCGACGCAGAGCTCGAGGAAATCCCGCAACCTCACGGACGGGGCGGGCCCTACTTTCTCGCAGATCTCTCGGAACACGAGCGGGTAATCGAGATGGAAGCGGACCTCGATGTTCATCGCATTGTTGTGAGAAAGCAATGTCAAGAGTGGGGCGACCACGGTGTCGTGCTTGCTCGCAATCAACTCGTCGAACATCTTGGTCGGGCTTTCTTGGGCATGAGACCTGAGAGACTGCAAGAGGCTTGAGGGTGGTGCAGCTGCGGCGCCAGATCCCGCATCATCCGCATCACCAGCTGTGGCATAGTCGGATGATTTGGCAAAGGTCTTGAATTTCACCGCGGACTCTGCAGCCGATTCCGCCAGCAAAGCCCTCAGCGTCGACCACGCGCTGAACATCGTGCCCTTGAACATCACCTGAGATAGAAGATGGAAGAGGAAGAAGCAGGAGGAGAAGGAGACTCGGAGAAAGTAAGCAAATCAGTAGGAGGAGGAGGACGAAGATGAAGAGGAGGAAGAGGAGGAGGAGGAGAAGGAGGAGGAGGAGATCTAGGAAGAGAGGAGCAGGAGCAGGAGGAGGAGCTAAGGAGGGATCGGGAAGGTAAGAGAGGGGAGGAAACAGGAAGTAGGGGCATCGCTTCAGCCTGCTGGGAGAAGGAGGGGACCAGGGAGAAGTGGGAAGAGCGAGCTGGGAGCAGATCCCAGGCGACCTTTTTCTGCCAGAGGAACTCTAGGGCGTAGCTGGCCAACTCGGCCTTCACGTCGAGCATCTCCCTGCACTGAGAGTCCACCTCGACGCTGCTGATGGCAACGTTCAGGCAGCTCATGATATCATCGCCGATGTTCCTCTCGCGACTCTCCCCCTCATCGGTCCTCGAGGAGACCACGAGGCTCAAGGCTTGGTCGCGGGGCTGCTCGGCGGGGTCGGCCTCGGGGTCGGCATCCTCTTCCTCCTCCTGGTGCTCCTGGTGCTTGGCCTTTCCCTTGGCCTTGCCCTTGCTCTTGGCCACCTTCGCCTTCTTCGCCTTCTTGACTTTGAGGGAGTTCTTGTACACCTTTGCGTTGTCGTCAATCACGAACAGCACGAAGGAGATCTTCTCCTGGGCGTCCGCCTGAGATTTATCGAAGATCCAGGGGAGCCTCCGCTGGGTCGGCGGGTTCGGGCGGACTGGAACTGCGAACTTCAAAGCCTCCGACATCAGCGCGCTGACGTCCCCCTTGCACATGTATCCATTGAAGCAATTGAACACCGTGGAGCTGATGCCGTGCATGATGCCGATAACACTCGGGTGGTGCAACTTGGGGTGCATGAAATCGACGTGGTTCCTTGCCCAGTCGCAGTGCTCCACGCCGAAGCTGACGAGTCTATTGGCCAAGGTCTTCGCAGAGTCGAAGTGGCTCCACGACTTCAGCTTGTCACCATACTTCTGGCTCACGAACTGCCAGTACTTTTGTTCGTAGTCTTTCCCGCGCGAGCTGATCGAGTCACTCTTCCACACCTGCCACGCGTTCACCATGCCGTCCACCTCAAGCAACAGTTCGATGTACGTGTAGCCGCTGCCTGTCTGGAAAGCCTGGCTGTTGTGGTAGTCCACCAAAAACTTCTTCACGAACTTGGGCATCTTGTAAGTGAGGCGCCGAGCCATCACCCCTGCCTTCACCGTCGACGCAAGCTGCGGGTTCCTCTTCCAGTCTGGGTCCTCCTGGATGAGCTCGTACACGGCCCGCGTTCGATGGCCCCAGCTCAGGGCGTAGAACGGCGAGGTCTCCCCAGGTGAGCAGACGAACCACGCCTCCCCAGCCACTCCAGGAACCAAGCCACGCTGGCGGATGCTTTCCTTCAGGTCGAACAGGGTGGCCCTCTGGGTCTCGCGGTTCACGGGGTCGCCGTGGATCATGCGGTCCCCCGCGGCGTCGAAGAAGCTCACCGCGACTGGAGATGGGCGAACCTCGTATGTTTCGAAGATCCTCGCCAGGCGAACGTTGCCCATCTCTGATCCGAACAGAATATCCATCATGTCAGGGTTGTCGGACTCCTCAAAGTACTGATTGAGCGTAGCCCGGCCAGGCAACACGCCAGCGCCAGCCTCCGCCGACACCACTGGCCCCGTCTCGCCACCTTTCTTAGAGCCGTCCTTCTTCGAGTGCAGGACGGCTTTCTCGGAGCTCATCGGCGACTGACTCTGGCTGCCTGCGCCCGGGCCCTGGCTGCCAACGCCGCTGACTGGGGTTCGAGGCCCACTGGGCGCCCCAGCCCCGCCTGCAGCCGACGGCCAGCTTGAGGCAGATGACGATCCTGGCGTGGCTGACATCGCGGCCCAGACGGACTGCAGGTGAAACTCTGATTCTGCAACAAGCTGGCGCTTCAAGATCACGCTTTGCAACCAAATGGCTATGAGATGAAGGCCCCCTGCTGAGGGTCGGCGGAGGATGGGGGAGGGGCGGCAGGGGAGGGGCGAAGGAAAAGGAGGGGGTGGAGTGAAGAGATGCCCTTGATGTCCTCTCTTGTTTCTGACGCACCGTGTTAGGATATGCACGGTGACGTTACTGCACTGTCTCTCCGCTGCGAGCTCTGAACAGAGTACAGCACACGGCGCAGACTGTCACCCCCGTCTGAGGCCGACCATTCCAAGAGCAGGATGTGCCGCCGCCGTTGGTGTTGTTGCTGCTGCTGCCGTTGTTGTTGTTGGTGTTGTTATTGCTGTTGTTGTTGTGGCTGTTGTTGTTGCTGTTGATGTTGTTGTTGTTGTCGTTGTTGTCGTTGCTGTTGTTTTTGGTTGCTGTATTTGTTATGGTTGTTGTTGCTGCTGTTGCTGTGGTTATTGTTGTTGCTGTTGTGTTGGGTGCTGCTGTTGTTGTTGCTGGCGTTGTTGCTTGCGAGTTAGACTCGGATCCCGCCACCGCCCAGATGCACGGAAATAATCCCGAAATGGGCATTGGACCCGGTGTCTTTTGAACACAACAATTTGGTAGGGATCAGCACCCGTCAGAGTGCTGATCCCTACCTAAGTGTTTGTTCTGACTCTTGCAACGCATACAAAAGAATGCCGCTTGTTTGTCTTCTTTGAATCTTCTCCGAATGCCAGCTAAATTCCAGCTAGCCGGTGACCCTGGTGACCCTCGCACACTCGCACACACTTTGGGCTGCCCCAAGAAGAACAGCCGTGGCGATTGCAAAGGCAGCAGCACTTGCAAGACATATATATATATATATATACAAAGAGTGCCACGCATGTGAGGGGTGGAGGGGCCCGACAGCCGCCTGCCGACCACTGCTGTGCATGGTCACGCGCCGCCCCACGCTTGGGGCAAGGGGGGGGGCAGAGGGGTGGATATGGGAATGACGAATCAGTAAGAGGGCGAGAATGAAAGTAAGGGGTGGAAAAGGTGGAGGAAGGAGGACTGGCCGTGTTGAAGCGAGCTGTGTCGCTCAGAGCCTTCACGGCGGTCCCGCAATCGCCAGCGTGCCGCCGCTGGATGACGCAGCAGGGGCACTACTAACACTGCGCCTGGGCTTGCGCCCGGGCCCCTCCTCATCCTTCGCCTCAGGGCCATCCGAGATCTCATCGAGCCCGCGCTTGCAGGCGCGACGGGCTGCGATCTCGTCCAGGGCCGAGTCCACGATCATCTTGAGGGAACGGCGGCGGCTCGGAGAGGCAGCGCCGATCTCCCTGTCGATGCGACCGATCTGCGTAGCCTGGTGAAGGTAGACGAGCCCAGCGATGACCACGCACATGGCGTTGCCCGCCTGAGCGGCCATCACATGGCTCCTGGAAGCGACCGGGAGAGGAAGAAGGGAAGGGGAGAGGAAAAAGGAGGAGACGAAGGAGAAGGATAACGAGGATGAACAGGAGGAAGAGCAGGAGAGATCCTGCGCACAGGCATTGACGGCGGCCGCATCAGGTGGAAGCTGGTCGTGGGCGGGCCCGTCCTGTCGTCGTTCAGAGGGAACGCCTGGGACAGGAGGCATTCGGTCCCAGTCAGCCACCTCGAAACCTTGCCCGGCACGTCGCGTAGATCTCCCCAGTAGAGGCAGACATTCTTGATGAGGGTATGCATCGTGGTCGGGGAGCCGTGAGCTCCGTGATTGTTGATCATGGACTGGCCCAGAGAGTACATGGAGGATGGAAACCTTTCCAGGTATTCCTGCAAGTTCTCGAACTCCCATTCGGTCAGGGCCTCTAGGAAAATGGCCGGGTCGTTCACGTCGAGCTGGCGATCCGATTTGAAAATGTTTCTACGGCACCGCTTGCGGCTGGTTGCCGCTGACAGCTCCTCCAGAATCTCGAACTCGTTCGCGACGAAGTAGTCGCGCCAGCTGATGCGAGCAGCCCTCCTGAAAAGATACATGAAAGGGCTGAGCAGCGTCTTGACGTACAAGGTCTTCGTGCGGTGCCTAAGGATAGTCCACTTCCTGAGGCGTGTCGTGGGGATCCCGTAATCCTCGGAGTTCAGGGTGGCCACGTCGATGTGGTAGTACTTGCCCAGGTACGCCTCGAGCAGGAAGGTCGAGAAGCCGGTGACGTTTTCCTGGATGATCACTGGCTCCTGGAGGGCGATGCGCAGGGCAAGCCACGCCAGGAAATATATCGCAGTGATGCCTTTCTCCTTGGACTGGCGCCCCGCCTTGCTCCAGTCCGTGCAAGGTGTCCCCGCGATGTGGAGCTTCGCCATGGATAGCGTGCAAGGCTGCTTGTGGCGCACGCAGTGCGCCGTCGTCTGGACGGCGAGCCCCTCCCTGACAATAGGCCCCAAAGTGTCCCAGCTGCGCCCCGGATCCTTCATCAGGTCCTTGATCATCTGCTTGAGTTGGTCCTTAAAGAACAGCTTGATGTCGGTGAAGATGCAGGCGCAGCAGTTGGGCATCAACAGCAACTCCTTCTGGGAATCGCGAGACCACTCGATGTGGCTGAGGACGTTCATGTGCGGGAGGCTTACCTCTTCGTCGTCCGCGTCTGGATTCTCCAGGCGCCTCAAGCGGCGCTCTAGCTCCAATGACAATTCATTCTTGGCAACCCCAGGGGAGTCGATGCCACTGAAAGCGGTGCTCACCGTGTCGCTGTTGATATTCCTCTTGAGGTCGAGAAGGAGCGCGTACTCCTCTTCCTCGTCGTCAATGTGGTTGGCCGCCGCCCACGAGTCCAGGACGTGCGCGGGCCACTGGAGCGCCTCATTCAGAGTCTTCACGCTGCGAAGTAAGCCCCATCTCGTACCCCTGAGCTCGGGGCGCACCCAGTCGCCTCTGGCCCTCGGAGGTGGCAGTGCGAAGCTGGGGCCGATGATCTCCGGGGCCAGATTCAGGCTCACTGGCGACCGACTTGGCGATGATGGCCCCGACGATGGCGATGGCGGCGATGGCCCGCCTCGCGGCGATGGCGGCCACGATGGCGCCACCGCAAGCTGCCTCGGAGTGTTGGGCGCCGAGCGTGGGCTATGGCCTGAATGCAAGGAGATGACATTGCCTGTCGCGCCGGGCCAAGCACTGCCAGCTGGGCTCAGCGCTGACTTGCTCGCCAGGGCGCTCAAGCTGTCATCCAGCGGCGGCGGCGCGGGCGGTGGTCCACTGCCCGTCGCATGCGCCTGTCTCTCGGGCACAGGCGGGGCCTCGCCAGCCTGGGCTCCATCGTCCCCATCCAGAGCTGCCGCGCCTTCAGCACCATGGTCGTCTGCTGCCGGCTGTGGAGCTGGCGGCGCCGAGGTCGACTGGGGCGCAGGAGGCTTCTGCGGCTGAAACTGGAGCGCCCGCTGTACCATAGGTTCCCGGAACATCTTATCGGCCTCGTTGAACTGGACCCACTTCATCCTCCCCCCTTTAGACAAGTAGAATGGCGGCACAATCTTCTCAGGCTCTGACATCACCCAAGCCACCAGGGATGGCTGCAGCCTAATCTTTGCTGGCATGTCACGGGCTAGAGTGCGATGAAATTGAATGGAGTGTGGCGTGCCCAGCTCATCCATCGACAGTCTGTGCTGGCCTGTGAATTTCACGCGGCCGACGGCCTTGAGCAAGGCTTTGCCGCCAGAGCCTGGAACCGAGCGAACCTCCTCCTGAGACACAGCACACTCAAGTACGTAAGTCCATGCGTTATTATCCAAGATCTCATGCGTGCGTGGGTCTGCTAATCCGCTGGGCAGCCATTCGCTTCGAAGCTCCCACTCCTTCCGGGCCTGGGCGTCGAATATCTTCTGGGCATGGGGCGGCCGTATGATGAGGCCTCTCAGCATGATGACAAGTGGCCGCGGCTGGTCGCGCGCCCGACTGGTCTGAAGAGCGAGCAACAAAAATGATAATCAAGGTTGCAATGAGATCCAACACTCCAGCCAAAGCGGCTACCAAGAAAGAGAGGAACGAGGAGGATGGTAGGAGACAAGGAGGATATCCAAACGGAGAAGCCGGGGCCAGCAAGGGGAGGGGGCGAGAGGTCACGCTTGTCATTCCCCCCGCGGACCCCCCCCGTGGGGACCCCCCTCCCCGCGGACCTCCCCCCCGTGGGGACCCCCCTCCCCACGGACCCCCCCCCGTGGGGACCCCCCTCCCCACGGACCCCCCCCCCCCCCCCCCCACGGACCCCCCTACCCCCTCCCCACGGAACCCCCCCCCCCCCTCCCCACGGACCCCCCACCCCCTCCCCACGTCCCGTAGGGACCCCCCTCCCCACGGACCCCCTCCCTCCCCTCCCGCGGGACCCCCTCCCCACGGACCCCCCCCCCGCGGGGACCCCCCTCCCCACGGACCCCCCCCCCGTGGGGACCCCCCTCCCCACGGACCCCCCTCCCCGTGGGGACCCCCCTCCCCGCGGACCCCCTCCCCGGTGGGGGGGGGTGGGGCCTCCCCGCGGATGCGCGTGTGGGGGCGAAGGGGGGAGTGCACTGCTAGAGACTTGGCACGCGCAGGAGCAGCATATCTGATGTCAATCTTACGCTGTTCCATCTTTTGGCCAGGCACGCGTAGGAGCAGCATGTCCGATTACAATCTTATGTTGTTCCATCCATCGTTTGGCCAGACACGCGTAGAAGCAGCAGAGGCAATGCCAATATTATGTTGTTCCATATTTTGGTCAGGCACGCGTAGGAGCAGCAGAGGCAATATCAATCTTATGTGTGTCCATCTTTTGGCCGAGTGTGGTGACGTTAACCCGGCGGTGGTCACGCAGCGCCGCGGACGTCGGCCTCGGCGAGGCCAGGAGGGGCATCCCCCAGGGGCCTCATCGAGGCCAAGAGTGGCAAGACGGCGCATGAAACCCGTCACCTCGAATCGTGCGACAAAGTTGGGATCGAGTGAGGTTCAGCTTTGAGCCGAGCTGCAGCTCGGCAACCAGCAGGTCAGACCGGAGACCACACGCAACGCTGAGTCGTATGTATATTCTTTCTCTTCTTACGA